ACAGCTAAAAATTGATATTTTTTTAAAAGGAAAAATAAAGTAAGAATGAACTAATTAATAAACTGGCGGATAAAATTCAAGCAATGCATACCATTTATGGAATTAAGACTTCATGGGAATAAATAATCAAAAGGAAAGCTTAATAGTACAAATAAAATTGTGATAGTAGTTATAGCTTCTTTATATGGAAAAAATATGACTTATTGGAAATTTATTCTAATTTCTTTAGGGTTTAGTGCCATAGAAAAAAGGTATGGCAACTAAAGTTATTTTTTAATTAATAGTGTCGTATGAGAATTACTATTTACGCGGATCAAGTTATCACTTAAAAACGAGGATTGATCCTACTTTTCAAGAAAAATTAGAGAATATTAAAGTGGAATCCAAGGATTGTTTTCCAATATGGTGTGGTCAAAGAGAAATTGAGGTTGATCATTTTAGTAGGACATATTTTTTTAATCTAGAATCCTAAATATGCAGTTGTAAATGGTGGGACCTATTCGGGATGCCATGTGGTCCTGCTGTAAGTGTAATTCAGTTGAATTGTGAGACAGTAGCGTGAAACCATAGAAATTAAAACTTAATTAAAAGGGTGAAACGATAATTAGTCATTAAAGTACCAATTGAAAACTCAAATTGTTCTAAAACCCATATGACAAAACGGACATCACTGTTGGATTCATCTCGTGAAATCTGGCTAACCAGTCAATTTTTATTTAATTTTAAGACAGTCAGATTTTTTGAGTGTTATAACGTGTTAAGTATCGCACGGTTAAAATCTGCAATTTGATTTAATTGTGGAACCCGTACACAGTATTTGTGGGCATGAGTAATGAGTGTGGGTGTGCATATTTTTATCAAACGTCATTTTTGGTGTGTTGATGATACGTTGGCTCAGAAAAATTGGACTTGGTATTGATTGAGTCGCACTGGATGCATTGAAAAACATGTGTGGGTGTAACAAGTAGGGCTAGACTCTCTCTCGAGTCCAAAACCCATAATCCTTTGGATACGTACATTCTAGTGGTGTACCTAGCCCATAAAATTGTGTGGTGTCAAGGATAGAGCCACAAGTGAAATGTCCTCAAAAACTTTTTGAGGTATGGTGACCCTTTGGTGAGAAACCATAAATAGCCACCCCGTAAAGACAATTTTTTATAGAATAGTCATTAGATGTTTAACATCAATGACAAGGGCTTGGATTCCTCGGATGCATATGCATGGCATTGAATGTATTATGGGAGTCGGTTGGGCTCGGTGTACATTGTGTATGCGAGTTTCATCTCATAAGCATGACATGATTTATGACATTTGTTCATGATAGATATATTTGAATGAATGCATGACATGATGTTGCATATGACATTTCATATGCATCTAGGTTGGGAGATAATCTCCATAGAAAGTACCCTATTGAGCATGGCTTATCCTTTATAGGAATACCTAAATAGGCTTCCGCTAAAAGCCCTCACTTGGGCCATATTGATGACAGAGTCGGGTTGTGGCTCTTGAGCTATATTTTGTATTCTCTTGTATATATTTACATTTGGCCTTGTATAATTTTTATAAACAAAACTTGTTCTATATTAAAAAAGGAATGTATATGGGACTTCTAGACAATTATTCTTTTTGTTGAAAGAATGTACATATACATGAAGTTATGGTTTGGTATTCAGTGCTATATGATTGAATATTGATGGTGGGGACCTGATATAGTCAATAGTTAAGATTGCACAAATTGTGTGTGTGGGATAGAGCTATCCGTACAAATGAGACTCCATATGAATTTTGTTAAAGTTATAGACTCTAATAAATGGGGTATCACTATGTGTTATTGGGTTAACCAGTATCACGGGGTATTCCGTAGGTTGATTGGTAATCAACGGGTCAATCTAGATCCCTAGGAATCGGAGCATCACAAGTAGAGTCCTATGTCCACAAGTGCTAGTGCCATAGCAAAAACACTTACCTGGCAGCAAATTCTTATATGACTCACCAAATTCCTGAAATGCAGGAGTATGTGGACACTAGATTTCAGCTATTGAACCCACCAAATGCAAAGAGGTTGCCTGGCAGACCAAAAAAGTTGAGGAAGAGGTCAGCTAATGAGCCTAGGAACCCAGGTCAGGTGTCTAGAAAGAACCTAAATTTCAAACTTTTTTAAAGATTGGTTATAATAGGAGGTCTTGCAAAAATAGAATTCATCCCCAATCAAAGCTGGTGAAGGTACACTACAGTATTTTTTACTTGTTATGGTAAATCACTACTTTTAGTCTAATTGTACTTCAGTATTTCTTATACTATTATAGGAGAACAAGTACTAGTGCTAGAAGTGTCGAACAGCTACTGCAGGTGGGTCTGGTGCAAATATTGGTGCTAGAAATGGGAGCTTTTTACCCATCCCAAGGCTTTTTGAAAAAAAAATTTCAATTAAGGGTTAGTTTAAAAATAATTCTCAAACTCAGGGAATTTTAAAAACGTCATTTGGTCTGACGTTTTTAAGTCAAAAGACGTTAGTTGTCTGATATGTTTAGCTTAAAAACATCATACTAAATGATTTTTTTAAGATTATTATGTGGACAGTACGGAACTTAAAAACATGAGTCCAATCAACCTTTTTAATTAAACATGTCAATTGGATTGACGGGTTTGCATAGTCCGAAAGGTTGGATAAGTTTTCTTTGAATTTTGCTGCTGGTCTTGTCTCTGTGTTCTGTTTACAACCATCTAGTGGAGGGAGGGCACTATTACCACTTAATCCTCTACTTCAAGAGGATGTTGATAGGGTCTCCAAAGTCACACAATTTAACGCCATGGATGAGCTGGAAATTCAATATTCTAAATTCGCAACTTGATAATTTTTTTAAAGTGGAGTTTGGATATGATAAATTTATCTTTTATAAATTTTTTAATTCTAGTATGGATGACTTGATTTTAACTGAATTGAACATAACAGCTGAATAAACATTAATGTTAACATGATCAATATTACAAAAAAAAAAAAAATTTTATTTTATGTATGCGTTTATAATTATATGATAAAATTAAAATTATTTATATGTATACCTTTTTAATTTTTAAAGTTTGATATGCTAAAAAATATAAATATTTTTAAATTATCAAAATTTATTTATTAAATGTAATTAAATTTTTAAATTAAAAAAAAAAACTCATCCTCTCAAAAAGAGATGGAGCAAAACAGTTTTAGGTATCGTTGTTAAAGAGAATAATATCAATAGAACAAACAAAATTTATGTATTTTTAAATTATCAAAAATTATTTATTAATTAATTTTTTTATTAAATAAACATTTAACATTTTACTCAGAAAAAAAAAAGTAGAAAACTTATCACTAAAAATATTTTTAGGTATTATGCTAGAGTGACTCATTGGCAGTTAAAAGATCTTGTTGGAAGCGGATTTGAAGGAATATTCATTTGTATCCGGTGCACTGCCATTCTTAACGACCATTATTTAATATTTTAAAATATTTTCAATTAATCTTCTCTTAATTCAGTTAAAATCAAGTCATTCACGTCAGAATTAAAAAATTTATAAGGAATAAATTTATCATATCCAAACTCCACTATAAAAAAATTATCAAGTAGCAAATTTATAATATTGAATTTCCAGCTCATCCATGGGCTTAAATTGTGTAACTTTGGGACCTATCAACATCCTCTTGAAGTAGAGGATAAAGTGGAAATAGCGCCCTCCCTCCACTGGATGGTTGTAAACAGAACACAGAGACAAAACCAGCAGAAAAATCCAAAGAAAACTTACCCAACTTTTTGTACTGCATAAACACGTGAGTCCAATTGGCGTGTATAAAACAATCTTAAAAATGTCATTTGGTCGGACTTTTTTAAGCTAAACATGTCAGACTAATTGAAGTCTTTTGACTTAAAAACGTCAGATCAAATAACGTTTTTAAAACTCTTTAGATTTGAAAATTATTTTCAAACAAACCCTTAGTTGGAAAATATTTTTCAAATAGTCTTGGGATGGGTCAAAAGCTCCTAGAAATGGTTCTGGTGCTGGAAATGAAGATACAAACGGCTCAACTACGTCTCAACCACCACCCACATATAATTCACAAACTGGTTCAACAACTTCTCAAGTGCTTTCCAACTGTTCTTTCACAGAATCTCAGGTGATCTTATTGTTAAAGGTGTCATGATAGATTGACTTTACAACTTTGATGTTTTGTTTAATGTGCAGCAGCATACTAAGTTAGCAACGCATGGTGGAATGGGTTCTGCTTATGCAGCAAGGGGAAGAGGTTCTAGACATGCGACACTGAGAAACGGTTCTACTGATGCAGTAGGTGGAATATATTATGATCATGCAGTAGGTGGAATATATTATGATCATGCAGTAGGGGGAAGAGGTTCTAGACATGGTACGGTAGGGAGAGGTTTTGGTCATGCTGCATTAATGGGGAAATGTTCTGGTCATGTTGCTGGAGGAAAGGAAGGAGGGTATACTGGAAATGGTGCAGTGGGGCGAGGTTTTAGTTATGGTCATGGTCATGCTGGAAGGGGAAGGGTTGGAAGTCATATGGGTCCATCTAGCAATCAAGGACCAACTTTGACAACATTAATGCAGAAAACTAGGGGAAGAAAAGTGGGAATGTCAACTGCTGCTACATATTAGCTTTAGAAAATGTGTTTTGTTCATTTTGTTATCAGTCCCATCTTTTGTGATTGCCTGAACTTTCCCGCACGGTTCGGAGAGCACTGAATTAGAATGAGAGGTTCACCACCACATCATTGCATGCAAGGGGAGCTCGCTCGATTCGCAGATGGGTCCGACTCGTAATTCACTTCTAACTCCGTGTTCGATAGCCCGACCGTAGTGATGTTAATTGTGGTTACATCCATAAGTAGCTTGGTCCATCTTTATTCCATTTCATATATGTCTGAGGATCCGCATAGCCCTCGATTTATGTGTTATTTATCCATTCCTACTTTTTTTATGCCAATGTTGGTGACTGTCAATCATGGGCGGAGCCACATCCCACATGAGGACCAGGGTGGGCACTTCCCCCTGGTCATTGTCATCAAATGTGTAGATGGCAAAGATGAAACTACTCTCACATCATTTGCAAGAACTTCCTTGAAATGATCCAAATCAAATATATCAAAAAATTCACTGCACCCATCAGAAAACCAAAATTAGAACAATTAATTAATCTCCTGCACAATGCAGACAATTAATCCAATCACTCACTAGAAAAAAAAAACAAATTTATTTGAGCTTAAGCACAATACTCATTGAATATTCACCATTTCACATATGACTAACAAAACTCAGGGTGCTAAAACCAATAATATGCATCGGGTGTTTGATGATAAAAGCATAATATTTAATATTTCTAATTCATTTATATTTAGTTTTATGGCATATTTTCTGTTTAAGTGAGCTGATTAATATATTTATTGAATTAGGGAAGCATGGAAGGTAAAAAAATAGATATGGCGTATTATTGTGCAATTTTCAGCTTTTAGGCAGTTCGATCTATGGAGCTTCAATTGAGGTTTGGATAGCGTTAGAGTTTCAGACTAAAAAACTAGTCTTCATGAATTTTTTAGAGAACGTCTTAAGCTTTTCAGACAGGTATGGTTTTAAAAAATCCAAGTTTGTTTGGGCCTCCAAACATTATTTCAAAGTCAGGCCTGGAAAGATGATCTGAATCCTGATTGGACCAATAAACTTCAATGGGTCATAACTTGAGTTTTCGAAGTCTAAATCAGGTGATTCAAAATCCTAAATTTATCTACACATCCAAGGCTACAACTTTCATCAAGATCCCAAATCAAGATCCAGTCGTTATCGGATAGAAAAATAGCTCGCAATTTTTGGCACGATTTCTGTGATTTCTATCAATATGTTTTGATAAGAAATACCTATAATGTAGGGATTTGAGTTGTACACGTTTTGGGGGGAAGTTTCATATGTTTTACAGAGGTTTTTAAGGTTCCCTAAAGAAAAGAAAGAGGAGGAGATGGAAAGGAATTTTAGGGTTTTCTTATTCAAGTATGTCAGGCTAGATTTTCCAATTCAGTTCAAGGGGATTTTGAACCTTCATTATAGTTTGATGGTTGAATCAAATCAGTAACATTATTTCTCCCTTTTCTTATGAAATCTATTCATGATAATCTGTTTTAATTGTTTTATTGATATTTGGTTTGATTGATTTAATCAAGGCATCTTAAATTGATCAGATTATTACCAATTGCTAGATTCAAGAAGTATATTACGTAATTGTTATTGTTCCTAATCAGTTTTAGCAAATAGTGATAGATGATTGTGGACAAGCTTTGTTTATTGCTATGATTTTCATAATTTAAGTTAAACAGTCCGAACTTGTGTGATTGTTGCTTAGAATAATCTAATTTCCTTGATATTAATGCTACCATTATATTAAATTTAGAGAACTTGTTTTAAATTGTCTAATGGTTAGAATCTAATGAAGAGCTTATTTCATTAGTGAGGAATTAAGGGGGATTTCGGGTAGCAGAGCTTGATGTTACCTAGGATTATTAGATTCATTGAAGGGTAGAATAATGTTATGGTTGATTGATTGTTCCATTAACTACAAGGGTAAGATTGAACTGAAGAACTTAAGTTTTACTTTATTGATTCCTGCTATTAATTTAGTTTTTAATCATATTTAGTTTGATCAGAATTCCAACCCCCCCCCCCTTTTTATTGTTTTGTTATTAATTGAATTTCAGTTTAGAATTGGTCAGAATAAATAAAAAAAATAAATTGTGAACACTCTCTTTGTGTTTGACCCTTACTCATCTAGCTATTGTGTTTGTTTTCTTTTATTGTATTAAGAAGTAAAGTTAAATTTTTGAAGTGTTAACGATGCGCTTCCAAAATGCTGAATCAAATGGCATAAGTTGATACATTGGGCCTGAGAGCTTTAGCACTATCAAACAACATGGGTGTTTGCTAAGCTGAATCGAAAAGTACCTAACTTTATAAATTTGTACACAAGAAATGAAGTCATTAGAAGTAACATGTATGTGTCTGTGCTAAACAAATCAAAATACTTTTGAAATTGCACAAACCTCTCATCACCCCAAATGACATTGACATGTAAGACGAGATCAACCAAAGTAGCCCTAAGAATTCTTCCTGCATCAACAATTTGGTTCATCTGTTGATTCATCCACCAGAAACCACCACCATCAGATACTTTGTCAGATCTACTATTCCGAGTAGACACGTTTAGATGGCTGTAGCTAGGAATTAATTCTCTATTGTCATTTGCTCTTCTCCTATTTAGAACATGTCAATTTTTATGTTGTGATTCACCTTAAGGAGTCATGTTTATGAAGGATTTACTAGTGTCTTATGTTAGCTATTTTCCTAATGCAAACCTCCTTTATTCAGTCTTGGGACTAATTATCTCTTAACAACATTTTCACCTAATCTTGCCTGAACCATAAGTTTGCTAAAAGTGTTTGCTTAATTGATCTTTCGTGTTGCATTTTTTATTTAGATTACGTCTCAAGACACTGATTTTCCAGCCCTGCCTAAGGCTTCCCCAACCAGATTTCTGTCATCTGAGATTGTTTTTTTCTTTTTTTGTTATTTTTTTTTGGGGGGGCAGGGGTAAAGATTCTGCTTTCGGTGACAACTTTTGTACGTGAGAAATTATGTGTATAATGGCCCCAAACTATGCCAAGCATGGGCTTGAAATGTGCACCTGTTGTATCAAATGACCAGACATTTGATTGAAATGGTCAAGACAAGTCGTTTGATGTTGATGATGGAATATGTTTGTAAGTTATAACACAATCTATTAGCAGAACAAATGACAAAGTTGCATAAATTCTTGATTGCTTTACAAGCTAAAAATGTTGATATTCCATGTGCACTAGAGTTATAGTATGGTTAACCCCTACGTTCATCTCCTATATAACTTTACTAGCTATGGACCCGTGCCTAAAAGCATTGTGTAACAAAAAAAATTGACAACTCAAACATTTAATCCAAAATCAATAAAATTAACATCCTCCCTGTAACACCCCAAAACACACCATGGACGGCATTACATTCTAAAATCATTCATATCATGAGAGCACTAATATAATCCCTTAAGAAACAAGACTTCATTTTTCATCCACGAATATTTACAACATTATCCAAAAGAATAAGCCCAAGTCATGGTTATTACATCTCAAAAATTAATTAAAGAAGCGCAGCGGAATAAACAAAAGAAGTTAGACTACACAATATTCCAAAAGAATGTCCTAGTCTAGTAAAAAAGGAAAAAAAGGTTGCTCTATGCATCCACCTCGAGATCCACACTCCTGTCCAGTGGAGTCTCTCAAGTAGCGGGCTACTCGACCCTTACGTCTTCCTCCTCAAGCGAGTAATCTAAAAAATGTTATCGATAAGGGGGTGAGCACGAAATTCTGTAGAAAAATTCTCTCAAACCCATATAAGATTTAGAAAAGTATTTAAAAAGGTCGGTCTCAATTTTAACATAACATAGATACATAATTTGAAATAAAGCAGTGAAATTTAAAAAGACTCTCAAGTTTATTTAAAAATATTACTTAAATGAATAAACGAGCACCACATACAAATAATAATCATTAATTGTCATAACCAATTTTCAACAATTCCTTCGGTAGGTGGCATACTTTGTGATAACCTCCACCACCCCTTTAGGTCACCTTTGATTCTCAAGTATCCTTACCGGGAATCTCTTGAGAATGGATGAGCATCCTTACATGGAACCTCTCTCCCCAATCACTACATTGTTTCCCAAGCATCCTTACCGAAAACCTCTTGAAAAAGGGTGAGAATCCTTACAAGGAACCTCTCTCTCATATGCATCACAAACAACCCAACTAAGTATACAATTCTAACATTTATCTCAATTTACAAGCATCTATCCAAAATCCCCAAAATATATCATGTAACAATTCTAGAACCAACTAAGAAAATACATGAGATCACAATAACATCATTTTTCTACCCAACACAAAGCACTAAGGTTTCAAAATTCATAATAAAGAAAGCATTTAGGAAGGAAATACATCACTCTCCAAAAATTAGGGTTTTAAAACTAGAAAGGAGATTTAATGGGTATTATACCCTACTTTGTTCAAAACATGTAATCTTTGCAAAAAATTTAAGAGAGGATGATTTCATAGCATATATATACCATTAATAGCCAAAACATACATATATAAATACTCTAGCCTCAATGTAAATGAATGAGAGAAAACTCCTACCTTGAATCATTAGTTCGTAGGAAGAACTTGAGCTTTGATCTTGAATCTACCCTTAAATCTCTTGTTTTTCCCTTCCTTTCTGTCTCTCTAATGCTCTCTAGGGTTCCAAGAGGTGTGGGGTGAGAGTGGAGTGAAAGAAATGAGGGCAAATGGGATGAAAATGGGGTTTAAAACACCTCAGCCTCAAAATTCACTGTTCACAACTTGTTTTGGTTTTCTCTAAAATTACGATTTTGCCACTAAGAATCTCCAATTTGATTCATATGACTACCCTAAGATTTTTCGACGTTCCGGATTCATTTTTAATGTTATTTTAAACTAAAAAAATTTATTTTTATGATTTATCTCAAAGTCAAAGTCAACGTACACCCGAAACACTAAAGTTTCTATTTTACCCATCCGAACCGGCTATTAATGAAGTTTTGTGTTGTTTGCAAATAAAAGGTGATAAAGGGTGCTTCTTAAAGCCTTTTATACTTATTTGAATTCTAAATGTACTCATTATTCTTATATTTTGATTTAGGATGCAAATGGAGACGTTAAATGCAAAATGAAGTTAATTGGACTATTTTAACATCGCTTCGTTATCTGGGCATAACTCTCTCATCTGAGCTCCGATTGAGATGATTCAAGATGGTATGGAATGATAAGAAAGAACTCTAAAACTTTCATGTTTTTAGTTTTGAGATATATTGACTGCATCAAGGTCTAAAGCGGGCTTGAAGTTGCAGTCAGTGCACTGTTCAAACTAATTGGGCTGTTTTGACATCACTTCGTTATCTGGGCATAAATCTCTCATCCGAACTCCGATTGAGATGATTCAAGATGCTATGGAATGATAAGAAAGAGATATACAACTTTAATTTTTTGAATTTTGAGAGGTATTGACTAAATCAAGGTCGAAATTGCGCTTGAAGTTGCAGCCAGTGCACTGTTAACATCTTGTTTCATCCCTTTTCCATTTCCAATCCATTCCTAAGCCAACCAAATCCATCCCAAACCTCTCCAACACATATTTCTACACCAAAACTATTTAATACAAGTTCGAAGACCTAAAATTTCATATTTTCATTTATTAGAACTAAATTTCAACTATTATTTTTACTAACATTTTAAATCTCTACTTTTCCAATCTACCAAATTTAAACACACATCACTACACATATTCACATTTTTACCACAATTATTTACTATATATCTATATACATATATAAAAGAAAATGTGGGGTGTTACACTCCCACTAGATAATAAGCTGAAACCTCCATTTCCAAAAATTCCCAAACAACCACAAGAAGGAAAAAGTAACAATATAGATCTTAAAACAAGAGCACCACAATTAAAGCTCCTAAAGTTCAATGTGATGAATCTAAAACACAGTGCTACACTACATACAGGCTTCCAACAAGTAACCAATGGGATAACAAGTGGTGACGTCCTAATAGAACTCATAGGCTTGGTCACTATGTCTTTCTTGTTTCTTGTTGTTGCCCAAATTTCCATTTGCCTATGGAGTTTGAGTTATGTAGATTCCAAATTCTCATGGGTTTCCAGTACCTATGATTTTCCCCTAGATTTTACATATGTCAAGAGTTTGAGTTCAAAAATCAATCTCTTGTAACTATGATAGAGTTATGTAGTACTAATTTTTCTTAAACTTCATTGTAAACGAAAATGTCTACGACTATTTTTTTTAGTATAAAGTAGCATTATGACCACATTCCTACATGTGTGATTTGGTCTAACATACCATGTGCTAAATTGACTACACACTAAATGGGTTTCTACAGACCATGTGCTGAAGTGACAATACAGTTGATAAGGTTAAAAAGTGAAATGACTTTACACAAGTCTGATGCATGACTAAACCCTAAGTGGCCTTTCATGACTACACTATCTTACTATTGATTGATGTGACCTGTCAAGCACACTAGGATTTGAACACTACTACTTAAACACTTTATTTGTGATTGATACTACAATCACAAAATTATGTCTACATCAAATTTTTCTACGAGATTCAACAATCGCAGATGTGAACGGGTTTGGTTGTTACAAAAGCAAAATGATAATTACAAGAATGAGAGATTTTTTGATCCAAAAGAGTATTATATAGGAGTACGACAAGAGTAGATTTTCGTGCAAAAGAATCAAACAAACTATTCACACAACTAAGAGAACTTGGCATACCAATGTCTCGTAGGTGATCACTAACAATGCAACACCAGAATAGAGAGGACTATGAATCAGTAGTAAAACATGTTCGAAGAGAGAATAATAGAACGCTGGTGCTTAGGTGTCGCTATTATATGCTCCAACAAGCAAAAGACATGGTGAAAACTGCATATAGACGAGAGTTGACACCAGTTAAGCAAAATAATATATTGTGTAATGCACAATACCTGTCAAATGATTATATATCTAATGAAACTTAATGTAGTAAGTGTGCAATTATTTTTTCCAATGTCATATATTGAATAGTGGTAATCAATATTCATTTCTGAGATAGAAAGGCAATATAATTAGTGTTGTGTGAAGTCATGTCAATAGTATGTAATTGAATTATTATGTCATTATTTTATCACTATGAAGTCATATCATTACTTTATCAGTGTAGTCAGTCTAATGTCAAGTCATATTAGTCATTTTGTCATTCAATTGTTATGTCATTATTTTATCATTGTGAAGTCATATTATTATTTTATCAGTGTCAAGTCATGTTAGTCGTACGCAGTAATTGTTCTGTCAAATTTATATATAATTATATTTCGTGTCTATATAAACTATCCTTATTAATTGTGTACATTATAACCCAAAAAAATTCTAATTGCACATCTAATAGGCAATTCAATCAAATCACACAAGAAAGTTTATAAAATTCTGTGCAAAACATGCTTTGATAATATATTTTTTAGTTAAAACAAAACACTACTGAACAAAAAATTTAATATCATCAAAATAATTAACAAACTCGTTAGTGGCATTATTAAAAAAATAGAGGTTTTTTTGGGTTCTTAGGGTTTTTAGTTTTTTATTTTTTATTTTTATTTTTAGGGTTCTTAGGGTTTTTAGTTTTCTTTTTAGGGTTTTTAGGATGCTTAGGGTTTTTAGTTTTTTTTTATTTTTATTTTTAGGGTTTTTAGGATTTTTGTTTATACATTTTTTAAAACGTCACTTGGAATGACGTTTTTGAAAACGTCACTTGAAATGACGTTTTCTGCTCACCAATTTTTTTAACGTATGTTATGTTGTCGTTTTCAATTCATTTTTTTTAATGTCATTCCAAATGATTATTTAAATAATAAAAATTCAATTTGAAATCATCATTTTAAATAATATTTTAACTTATGAAGGCATCATTCAAAATAACGTTTTTTAAAAACAGACTGGGTTAGAAAAATAAGTTTAAAACAAGATAAGGTTGTGAATAAAGTTGATGGGGAGGCTGGTTTTGGGAAAAAAAATTTTATATATATCTATAGGTATATCTATAGATATAATTTTTGATTTCCTATTTTATCATAATTATTAAAATAAATTCAATTATACCCACCTATATACTTTCATCTAATTTTTGTTTTTTACTCTTATTTGACTTCAACTTGTTTTGGACTCTTTTATAAGGACTTTTAAAATTTTTTGAACTCATATATTAGTACATACAATTTTTTATATCTATATGAAGAGAAAGTTCTATATATATTAAATTATTATACACATATAATTACCGGATTAAATTCTGCAATCAAATATATATATATATATATATATATATATATATATATATATATATATATATATATATATATATATATATTGAAATGCAATAATATAATAATATTATAGGCGATCTAATCAATCTATTTAACAAACTAAAAAGAGATTTCTAAATAAAGGATAAACTAGGTACTGAAAAAATTATATAAAAAAATAATAATTAAATTTAGTAATAATTAAAATATAGATTAATTATTCGATACCTAATTTATTAAATAATTTAATTAGACGTATAATTCATATTTTTAAAAAAATATTATTTAAATTAATTTACATGCAACGCACATCACGCATTATTAATATAGATAAGGGATAGCTATAATTTATTTCAAGTCCAGAGTCAAAAAAGATGGTATAACTCGACAGAGTACTACTAAAAAATACTAATATACGTTAGAATCAATAGTGAATAGTAGAATCATTCTCAAAAAATGTCATTTTCTTGTAATTTCACCCGCGTAAGATTTAACTTCACCCTTATATTATTTTGGAAAGTGCTATGGTATCATACTGAAAATGGTTCGCATACGTATATTTTATCTTAATTTCTTTGTAATCATACATCATAAAAATTTTGCACGTGTAACTTATTATTCGGCCAAAAAAGAAAAAAAAAATTAGGTATCAACGGCTAGCGTTCTTGATGCCATTGTCCCACTTGAAGTGTCCGTTAGAAACTTGACCGTTAACCAAACGCTGGCAAACTTCAAAATTTCACATGGTCACTTTAATTTACTAGATGGCCTCGGGCCAGATAGGACGCTCAACGGCTAGCGTGCCATTCTCCCACTAGAAGTGTCCGTTAGAAACTTGACCGTTAGCCAAGAACGCTATTTATTAGAGAATCCTAAACTTCCAGACAAGCAATTAGCAGTGAGAGACCTATTTATTCCGGCATCACTGCACCCTCCAGGTGCGAGTGGGGTTTTGTAAGCTCTCTCTCTCTCTGCGTTAGGTCGAAAAGAGACTAATTTGAGAGACATGGGTATGGTGGTTGTGATCTCATTGCCTTTAATTCTCTTCTCGTTACTGCTTGGTTTTGGGTGTTACTTCTTGGGAAAACATAAAGGAAGACAAGATGTGCGCACCAATCCACAGGTTTTTGGAGTGCCCACCCCACCACCTGGTAGTGCTGCTGAGATTTCTTATCCTTCTCCTTCTGCCACCCATTTCAAACCAGACAACTCCGCCAAAGTTTGAGGTCACCCACAGAGATTGGCAGCATCAAACAAATGAAGCGTTATTATTTCTGTTGTGTATAGGGAATGACCATTCGTTTGCATATTATATGGAGAGTTTGTCAAATATTTTTGGTTAATATCATTTTTGATTCTTAAAGTATGTCCATTTTAGTAATTTCATTCTCATTGTATTAATTTTGTCAATTTAATCTCTTAAGTTTCAAAGGTTGGACTATTCCCACCCACAAATCTCCATCGTCATCTCATTCAACTCTTAATCATAAACTAAGTACACACCATCTATACGCACCCACTAATGACTAAATTCGCCTCATTCGACACCCACCCCCACTAATAACTAAACTTATCTTAATTTTTACTTTTAGGATTTAGTTCTGTCTCATCTCACAATACTATACAAAAATATACTCAACTAATTATCTAGTACGGATCTCTCAAGTGATATTCAAGTTGAAATTGATTCTAAGTTTATTTTATTTTGTTGCATGTGTTTTTTTTATCAATGTCAATGATTTTCGTATATATAATAAATTAGCTAGCTACTTGACTTACTGAATAATCAAAGATGTCTTTCAATATCTTCCTAGATCTTTATTTGAGAAGAAAGAAACAAAATAGGAAAGAGATAATTGGCTATATCTTTGGAGATATTTTTTGAGACTCTCTAGGAATAAGAGATAGACATATCAGGAAAGAGAATCTCTAGGATATTTGTTTATCTCTCTCTCCTTGTTTTTCCTATAAATAACAATCCCTGAGAGCTCTAGAGAACAAGTTCTTCCTCCTCCCAAAGGGGCTACTCCTCCTTATTCTTCTTCATTGTCCTTAGTTTAGTTTTATTTTGTAAGCAAAGCTCTTCTTTATTTTTGGTATGTTATTTCTTTTATTGTAATTGCTTTCAATTCTTTATTTTAAATACAATGTTTTTTATTAAAGTTCAATTTTCATTCAACTTTTATTTACTCGCTTTTATTTTACACGTCTTCTTTAATTATTTTCAATTTAAATTCAATCATGTTTGAGTAGCTTCCTCTGGATAATCTCATGTTTGAGTATGCAATTAAGCCTCATCAGATCATCATCTTGAGACCATTCTTAATAATTATATGCAAACCAAACTAGCTTTTCAATACCTGAATGAGCAAGGATATTGAAGAGATAAAAGACATGCTCAATACAATTACCATGACATTTAATAATTTAATCCAAGAACAAGAAATTGAGCATGGTCAATGTTGTAACAGTGATTCTTTTTCTAAACAACAAACTGAGAAAGAATCTATTAACACTCTTGATAGTGAAAAATTAAGTGATATTATTATTTTACAAGAAGGTTGAGTTCAATGACCTTTCATTATCAAAGAGTAGCAATTAAATTCACATATCCAAGCTTGATGAGGGTACAAAAGTTGAGTTGAGTGTCATAATTAAAAAAGATCTATTTTATATCTCAACATTGGATTTGCATAAAAAAAATTTAAATCTCCTTTTCCTTGAATTTTCAATTGATATGTTTGGTGTATGAGTGGATAGTTCGATTGAAGGAATTGTTTGCTCAGAATGTTTTCCAGCCATTAGAAATAAAATGACGCATAATCAAAACCGGCTTTAAGTTGAATTGTGTGTATTTTTTTCTTTTTCTTGTGCATAGTAGTTGGATTTATTTTTATTCTTTTTATCTTTTTTAATTTTTTTTAATTTTTTTTTGTACATACCCTTTTATTTTATACCCATTATTAATTGAAATTTCATGTAAATATCTTTCGGTGATCATAGTGTTGGGTTTAAGTTGGGGAATGTGAGTGCATATTTTTGTGTGCTTTATTTTATTTTATAGGTAATTTTATTAGTTTGTTATATTTATTTCTTTTGTTTTGTAGTCGGTGATTTTATTATTGGAGCTCAATGCTAGGTGTTTTCCTTCCCTTATTGTTTTTATTTTCTCATTGCATTACTATGTTTTGCATTGAGGACAATACATGATTTAAGTTGGGGGTAAGGGTTACACCACTATGTATAACGCCCCTAAAACCAGGAGTCATTATTAACCCGTTGACCACCCGTCAACCTGTGGAATTGTCTGTGAGTGTCGATTGATTCGACATCACGTTGTTATTATTTCATTTCCTGAAATTTTAACTCAGACGTATTACCCTTATTCCTTTAATCATTTAATCCCACCAAGGTCTAATATACCTTATTTAATGTTCATTTGTATCATTGGAACCAAGGAAAACAAAGCCCAAAAGTATGACAAAATAATTTAAAATTTTCAGATTTTAGGAGACAGTACCAGTACTGTGTACCGGTGTGTTTTGCCTTCTGAACAGACAGTACCGGTAAGCTTTTCCTTCTAGGCAAACTGTACCAGTACGCAATACCGGTACACTTTGTCCAGTTTTGCCCAATTCACCTGTTGTCGATTTTAACCCATTCCAAAACCTACATTTTTCATCTAATACATATTAAATCATATTTTTCACATATAATCAAATATATACAACGTCTAATACAACTCATTCCATACATTTACATGCCAAATGGGTTTTAAACGAAAGTTTGTACAAAAACTTATTTCCAAAAGTCACAATCCGGCTTTTCTTCATCGTTGATGCCCTGAATGAGTGTCATCCATCAGAGTGCAGTCCGCACTTGAAATATTTTCCCATATTGGATGAGCCAACGCCCAGTAGAATATTTTCTACGGAGGCTACTCCCCAACCTAAGTGCATATGTAATGTTCATATACAACATTTTACAACAACATTCATTCCAACCAATATTTATGCAAATCAATGTTGGAATCAACATGTTATGTCATGATATGAGATGAGACTCACTCATGCAATTTAATCCCAAGCCTTCACCGATTCCCACTACACAATGCAATGCGCATATGTAATGAATCCGTCAATTGACGAAAAATGCATCCAATGATTGTTTAAAATAAAAGTAATGCATTTGTAAAACAAAATCATTGTAGATGTTACCTATTGAATGGATGTTTTTATAAAACAAAATCTTGTGTCTTTGTTGGGTAACGAATTTTGGAATCTCACCGCCGGCTCTGTACGCCTGTCTACACTTTTTGGACTTGCACCGATGGAGTGTATGAACCAGTAGCCGGGCCTTGCACCCGAGGACATGTCTAGCCGTGGAAGCTTTCTTTTCTATGCAACCGTGGAACTCTGTTGAATCTTAGTTCAACGGTACCGAGCCCACTTGTCATCCACTGAGGATGGTGTTTGACCCAAACCATGCACTCACACCCATGAAATGCGATGTGTTCTCCGTACATATGCAATGTAATGGACCATTACATTAACAACATCATACTCAATGTAATGAATGTCAATGGGCCAACTTAAACCACACATCTAAACCTGTGTCAAGGCAATTTATATCATATGCATAAAATCACCAATATCAACAATTCACAAGCTTGTTATACATAATCCATGCCATATCAACTTAAGTTCCACTTAGGCATTCTATGCAAAATACCATCAAGTCACAACATTTCTCACATCATTCACAAGGCATAACATTTAAAAATAAAGCATTCCCATAAAATCACTTTTTCATGGAATTACCAATCAAGTAATTACCACATCATAATTTCAAGTTAGGAAAATCTATTCCAACCCATTTACCATAAATTTCACAATAATTGCAACCCACCAATTCCAATCTAGGAATTTTACTTAAATTAGGTCAAATTCACATACCAAATTCAGCAATCACCCAATTCCATCAATTTCACAACCATAGACAAGTGATATATATAGCTATCCATCTACCCATTACATATAACACTCTAGGTTGTAAAATAAACCCGAGTAGGAAGGAACTCTACCTCTTGAAGCGTAAACCCACTTGGTAGAAGCTCTCAAGATTCAAATTCTCACCCCAAGCCCTTGATTCCACCAAGTTTGGCTTTGAAACTTCGGTGAAATCCCTTATTTTTGGTGTGATCGTATAGCCCTCGTTGAGGAGAGCAACGTTTCCTCTTAGCCCGAGTGGATCCGAAGCCTATGGAGTCATAGATCGTAGAGAGAAGGTAAAGAGCTCTTCCTTTTCCCTCACTTCCCCTCTCACGTTAACTGGCTGAAGGAAATGTGGAGGAAATCAGATTTTTTCCCTTTTTATACCCTCCATTTACTTGGCTCACATTGTGCCACACAGTTTCTTTTTACCGGGTCCGTTTTCATCCCGAAACGATTAAATTTTGCTTCAGTTCATGTTCAAATTAATTTTATTTTATTTTACCTTAAATTATTGTCTAAATTTTAAAATTTTATCAAAAATTTCATTTTTGGGTCACCCGAGACTCGACCGCCTCGTAAAACATAAAATATTCGACTATCTTAGAATTCAATAAAATTTGACGTGATAACTAGATTTTGCGAGACGAATCCAACGGTGAGGTCCGTTTTGTCATCTAAGATCTTGAAGATTTCAGGTTTTCAATCAGTACTATAGCGACAAAATTATCATTTTGCCCTTGTTTACAAAAGTTTAAATTTACCAGGTTTTACATTCTTCCCCTTTTAAAAGAATTTCATCCCTGAAATTCACACACACACATATACACTTAACTCCATGCACATGACACAATGACTATACATAAAATCATAAAACTTGAACCTCCATCCTCAAACAGAAACGGATAGTTGGTACGTATAGTGCCCTCACGCTCCCATGTCGCCTCCTCCATACCTTGGTGCTGCCACAGCATCTTCACTAGCCTCACGGTCTTACCTCGCAAAACCTACTCCAGGCTATCCATGATACGCACCGGTCCCTCCTTGAAGGTCTCATCCGCATCAACAATCATCTCACCCCAATCCACTACATGTGTCGGATCTGGACTATACTTCCAGAGCATAGAGACGTGGAATACCGCGTGAACACCTGATAGATTTGGTGGTAATGTCAACCGTTAAGTACCTACACC